CAGCAGGAACTATTATTAGCTCCTGTTTATACTGTCATTTTTCTTATCAGTAGGAGATTATTTATACAGAGCCCAACCCAAGTGCTTCTTGTTTATCTTATTACAGACACCATTAAAAAAGTTTCTATAAAAAGCAGCTTCTGTATTTAGGACCAGCACTAATAAGTGTTATGCTAGGTTTTTGCTTCTTATCAATCATTCCTTTATTTTCAAGTCACCATTTAATACTCTGTTACTATTTTCCAGTCTGCCTCTTCTCTCAGTACTCAAGGCAGCCCTGTAGAATGTCTTCCAGGTTTAATTTTCCCTGTCAGATTCATTATCTAAATGACTTTTAAAGTTTCTGGTAATGTTATAAAGACTAAGAGAGCCTAAAAAATTGTTCTACTGCAACAGCTGACTTTAACCTTCAGCTCCGTGCTCCTCTCTCACGTATCCTCCCTCTCCATCACTTCCCATCCCCTTGCGCTGCAGCAGAGGGAAAACAAAAGGAAAAGCCGTTTACTGTTGCAGAGTCTGTAAATACAAGGCTGCTCAGTGTGCTTTGTAAGATTGTGGCTGATGTAGGAATGTGTATTCTATAAGTGCACTGCAATATCAGAATTAAGATGAGAAAACGGAGAAACACATTTTTGAATTGAATCCGAAGTGGCTTGAAGAATTAGCGAAATAAGGTAAAACGGAAGTTTCAAGGGGCAGAAGTTGCAGCAGAGGTTCCTGCACCAAGGACAGTACACGACAAGGTACAGAACGGGGACAAAGATGGTCGTAAGCACAGGGGAAACATTACACTCTCTGATGAGCTAATCCAAGACCTGCAATTTGAAGACATGCAAATACATTGGTTTAGCTAAAGTTCATCGCTTGTATGTCCGATTTGGCCAACTTCAAATCCAGCTGTAATTAAGAAAAGGAAGCCAAGTTTTAGGTTCCTAGCTAAAGGTCTAATATCACTCTGTTCAGATGCACTATTACTCCTTTCCCCTCTCTATGCTATTTTCCCCTCCCATTACGCGCACACACATACACACACACACAATTTTTTAGGGTAGTAAAGAAATTGATGGACATTGAAAGGAGAAAGCTGGCAGCATGGGTAGCCCAGCCAAACAACTCTCCTTCTGGACAGAGACAGCCATAAATTTTTCATTTCATTTCTTTCTTGCCTCTCTTCCCAGGGCAGAAGAGGTGAACGCTAAAAGCTGAGGCCACGCTACTCTGCATTTATTTCAAGTGCTAAACAAATGACTTCCAGCTGATGCAGGGTGGTAGCCAGTGGATGGGCAAGTCAAATATGCCCAACATCTGCACTGCAGCCTCCAGAAACAGCTTGCTATGTCTGTATTACAACAAACGGTGATGGAGGATGTAAGCACACCAGCCTCTGTGGGTTGCTGATCTGCTAGTGCAGAATTGCCCCCTTTCAGGCTCCTTCACAGCTCCTTCGTTGGCCAGAACAGGGTTCCACCTTGATGTGCAATATAATAGAGGACCCTGAGACACGGATCACTGGAGGCTGAACAGTATTCTGAAAAGATACCACTTCACTCTCATAGTCCTCCCCTACACCATCTGCTACTGACCACTCTGGATTTCATTTATCTGTTTTTCCTCTTGTTTACGGAATGATTTACAGAACAGCTTTACCAGTAAGACTAAGCCTGTAAATACTGAGATGATACCATTTGGGATCATATATTCTGCAAAGTATTACCTCTGTCTATACAAACTGCTTTTTTAATGAACCAGAAGTGGTTTCCAGGCCTTCCTCGGGAGCCTGTTTCACAGCTGAATAGGAAGGAATGTTGGATACACCTGAAGAACACACAAGTCAACTGGCACTCATCAGACCTAAGACAACTCTGGAAGCGTGAGCCCTGGAACACATGCTTTCTGCTCTGGGTCTCTGTCCCGAGCTATTTTCAGTCACTCTTCACCGTACTGTGCTTTTGAAAGGAAGCTAATGTTTCTCCCAGTAGTGCTGAGCACGCTCTTTAATCTGGTCCCTTCAAACATCTCTTTGAGATTTACTGTTTCTTTCAGATAAGCCATAACTATGTACTTAATAGTGGCACATAAGTACTATGCATCTGCTTACACAAGGCTACGGGTTATATTTAAAATGAATCAGCTCCCGTAGACCTTCCCACCAAGCATATGGAGGATGACACAGTTCAACTGCAAAGTGTAGTGGGAGGAAGAGACTGGTGCGTCACAGTGCAGCGCAAGCCCTGCAGCTATCTCTGCTTGAGAAACTGCATCACGTGCAAAATATCACTTTCTTTTCTTATTTGAAAGGTCCGTGGAAACACTACTGGGTCAGCTGCAAAAGGACATAGCCATTTAACCTTTAGATCTACCTGGTTTCCCATTGATTTGGCTTGAAAACAAGATAATAACACGGTGCCATTAGTTCAGTCTTTTTCTGTCCCACTGACAGGCTCGAAAGGGACATCTAGTAATATTTTCTCTGATCACTGTGTGAGTACGTTCTGGATCCCCCCCCATGTTACGCAGGAGGGTTGAGTGGGATGGGTGTGAAACTTAGTCAACTCTGTGTGAAGTGGATGGTGTTGTTTACCCACAGGAGGAACAGCCTGGCAAACTGTGAAAGCTCCCAAAGGCTAAAAGCCAATTTAATGACTTTAACAACTGAAATCCAGTAGGTTGAGGATGGAAGGAGCAAAATGATCAGGTGTGAAGAGACTGGTCTTGACTTTCCTACAGTCTGCCTGCAGGGGTATCAAGACATGCACCGAGACACCTAGCTAATTATAATTAGATCAGCTCCTTTTACTGATACAGACCCTGTCTTAGATTTGGTGTGGTGATTCTGATTCAACAGCCCTGCATGCAGTAGTCCCACTGACCAAAGAAAAATGCTGGCTTGTTTTGGAAAGACTCTTTCTGCAATTTTTTCCTTTTTGCATTACTTCTCTTGAAGGGGAAGCTAGTTTTGACTTGCTGGTAGATACAGAGGTTAATTCAGAGATGGGTTATTCCAGGACTATATTCAGGCAAGGACTGCACAGAAGTAGGGGAGTGACCCACTAACTACCAAAACTTCAGAGTTCAGGTACAATTTAAGCAACTAGACTTAGGATTTAATTTTTGAAGTGCCGGTGCTAACATCTGATAAGGCTAATAACATTCCTTAGTGTTACACAAAATGTTAGTCTCACGATTTTACAGATGAAATTGAAATCAGGGAAGGACGAGTGATTTTGCCCAAGATCACAGAGAAGAGTTGGAGATGTGGAAGGAATTCCTGGCTCCATGGCTCAAGCACCCGTTTCTGCCTGCCTACCTCAACTGCTAGCATGTCTGCAAACCCAGATCTCCCAGACAGATGGGTTCTTATGACATTTCAAATACTGGAAATATCATAAAAGAACAACTTCCCTCCTGCTGGCTTGGCATTCCTACTCATCAAGGAACCTTAAAAACGATCTACTTCAAGATCTTTATTCAAGTTTGGGTTAAAAAAATGAATAAATGTTATAGGTATAACATGGGATTGAGCTATCTGTATTTTATCATCAAGTCTTCATCCTAAGACATTGAGGGGCTGGAGCGTGTCCAGAGAAGGGCAACGAGGCTGGTGAAGGGTCTAGAGCACAAGTCTGATGAGGAGCGGCTGAGGGAGCTGGGGTTGTTCAGCCTGGAGAAAAGGAGGCTGAGGGGAGACCTCATCGCTCTCCACAACTCCCTGAAAGGAGGTTGTAGCGAGGTGGGGGTCGGTCTCTTCTCCCAAGGAACAAGCGATAAGACGAGAGGAAACGGCCTCAAGTTGCGCCAGGGGAGGTTTAGATTGGACATGAGGAAAAATGTCTTTACTGAAAGAGTGGTTAAACCTTGGACCAGGCTGCCCAGGGAAGTGGTTGAGTCACCATCCCTGGAAGTATTTAAAAGACGGGTAGATGTGGTGCTTAGGGACATGGTTTAGTGGTGGACTTGGCAGTGTTAGGTTAACGGTTGGACTTGATGATCTTAAAGGTCTTTTCCAACCTAAATGATTCTATGATTCTGTGATTCTAAGTATGCTACCAGCTACGCTGTTCCAGACAAGCAGTGTGAGCCTGTAAAGGAGAACTAATAGCACCCCACCCCATGGAGGAGCAGTAAGACTTCATTACTCTTTGTGTAAAGCTTTGGAAACACACCCAAGGAAGAAGTGATATCACTGCAGTCTGTTCTCTTGTCCTGAATGTGAAAGAGAGAAGACGCAGGGCAGAGGGCAAAAAGAGAACTACTTCTCCTTCTAGGTAAAATCTGAGCTAATCCCCTGAACCTCACATCTGATTTTCATTAATTGTGACTCAAAGGCAAATGATTGAAAAACTTCAAACTATCATCATCCGACTCCTGGATGTAGTGATACCAGCTATAGCTGTATCTCCTGACTCTTCATATACATTTTATAATATAAATACATGTTATCTCTCTCTCTCCCCATACAGAGATATGCAGATATACATCTATTTGCCGCACTCAACAAACAATTTAAGAATTAAGGAAAACCGTTTTCATTTTAAGATAAGAACTTCGGGCTTATTATAATGCTGTAAAATAAAATCTGCTAGCACAAGCCACAAAAAAAAGAAAAAAAGAAAAAGTGATTCACTGGGGAAGTTCCATGATGTGCGGGACAATGGGTCTTAAATCAAAGGCATACATTATCATGACTAAGCTGACAGATCTGCACTGCAATGCAGAAAGCCAAGCAATATTCCAACATCTGCACCGTGCAGACATAGGCAGTTAGACACAGTTTCCCAAAATGAAGAAAGGACTCCCCAAGCTCTTACCTGTTACCTGTGCAACAACTGCTTGGGAAATTCTCCGATTGGCTAGGAAGGCTTTGATTTCCTCCTTTATCACACTGCTGTCCCTCCTACCAAAACAAAAAAACAAAAGAACACACAAAAAGACGGACAGACCAAAGTGCACTTTGAAGATGCAAAATGGCTTTATTTCCTTTATTTAGGGGACAAGGAGTGGGGAAGGCAGGCATTAAAATAGTCAAAGTGCCTCACCGGTGGACACTTCTTTTAACAAGTGTCACGTTTGATCAAAGTACCCTAGCAGGAGAATGGATGACTCATGTCCTATATAATTCATATTAGGTGCAGCACTGCCATATGGAATGTACAAAGTTTCATTACACAGGGATGAATAAATCTCTCATACCAGCATAAAAGCCTCAGTCATAAAAATGAGGCACAAAAATAAAAAATAAAGGATAGCAGGGTCTGCATGGTTAGCTACACAAATGAATATACATACACAAACCTTCTCCAACCTTTCAAGGAAAGACCCAAAGGAGAAAAGATCTGGCAACCTCTGTCCCCCCACCCCTACCTCCTTAGTCGACAGCTTGCAGTGAATGAACAAGTGCCAGTTATTTAAAGCCTTTGTATGATTTTTATAAGGTGTGCAAAGATATTTCAGAAGGGACTAAAACTGTGCTAAAAAGAAAAGAATTTGGAGGTTGCACAGGGACTGTGATATGCAGCAAATTTCAATTGCAGTAAACACATTCTTTTTCCTCCTCTTCCTCCCTCCCTTCCCGAGAAGGGCAGACAATTAAAACCTGACTTTATTAGGCTTTATTATTTAGTAATTTCCCTTCCCCTTCTCCCCTCCTGCCCCAGCAGCATTCAAGGCAGATTCAAGCTTGCAAATGTAAATGCAAAATAAATGCTATGTTGTGCGTTCGTTTTTATTTCTGTACCCAACACTCATCTTCCATATGCCTGCAAATAAAAGTAGTTCCAGTTTAAATAAGCACTAAAAGCATTACCTGAGACTTATTGCGTAGGAACCCAAAACTCAAAGGAACGATTAAACTTCAGCAATGGGAACTCCTGCATACTGCTATACTCACCACCTTCCTGCATTATTCTGTTAACCTGCAGCTGACAGTAAATGAGGTTGATCGGCTTTTTTTACTGCTCATCCCTAATCCTCTCCCCCAAAAGCCACACCTTTACCCTAAATCTCCAAGCTACTTCAAACAAATTTTCATGCTGGAGCTTATGGACCCTAGTTCTCTCATAGGCACTTCATAAATGTTGCAACTTTGGGGAAAAAAAAGACATTCCAACATTATGACCAAAATGGGTTTGAGACACTTGGCCTTTCCTCTTCTTTCTTTTTGCTATCAAGCCCACTGACTCTGACTTTCATCCTCAGTGGTATAATCCCCTCCTTTCATCTTTGCCATAATGCTGAAAAGGAAGCCGCTAAAAGTAAAGGAAGGTCAGTCTGGAAAAAAAAAACAACCAACTGGCTCTCGCTGAAGACTTCTGCTTCTTCTTCATTATTTGTATTTTCCTACGCCAATCTGCAGACTGTGCAAATCCCAGAGAGTGTCAGCCCCTGCCACAAACTATAAACAGATAACATACATGCTCTGCAGGCCCCAGTGGAAAGCACTAACCAAGCAGATTCCCTGCTCCCCCTATATATGGAAGGAAATACAACTGGTATGAAGTAGTGGAGGAGTCACGTGAATTGACACTCAGTCAGAAGTCTTCTGAGTAAGAGTAGGGCGGAAAATTAGTGCGCTAACATCAATTTCAATTTTTGGTACAGCATGGGAAAAAATATTTCAACAGTAAAACAGACTGTGGGACACGCACACACGGCCAGGGGTTGTCTACACAAGACTAAGAGGCAGGTGAGAGGTACCGAGATAGTGACCATTAGGGAACTGGCAGGGGAATAGCTGTCTAATGCAGTTCCTGCTTTTTTGATAACACCTATCACTAACTACTACAGCAGTCCTCCAACATGCAGATTTCTTCTGAGGGACTTCTCACTCTGACTTTCCAAACTTTTTACAAAGACTTCTACTAACCTCATCAGTTCCTCCACTTTGTCATCAATGTCCAAGTCCTCTTCAGAAGCTTCAAAACTGTATGACCTTTGAGCCAAGCTGTTTGCAAGTGGGTAGCGGGTAGGTGACATCTTCCCGTTGAATGCAGACAACCTCTCGTTACTCTCCCTCCCGTTCTGATTAGTAGTGCAAGGCTGTGGGGAGGTGTCGTAACTGTTGCTCGGTGATGGGGACATCCCAGAATGCTGGGTCTGTGTTGAAGCTGTGGCTGTAGAGGAAGATGCTGGGACATTGTTGGTACTGTTGCTGTAGGAACCACCTCCGTAGCTAGACCTTCTTCCAAATTTGTCACTATGCTCTTGATCAAGACGATCCAAGGTTTCCAGCGCGTGGAGGATTTCATGTCTGGTCATTCCTGTACGTCTCAGGCGCTGAAGCAGGTCTATCTGCTCTATGGTAAATCTTGGTTCGTCTGTGTAGTGAGACATGGTTTCCAGCAGGCTAAAAACAAAGTAAAATGTAAAAGCAAATACTTCAGTTCAATAGTTCTCTGTGGTACATGGAAAGTACCTTACAAGCAGGAAAGATCAATTCTGGTCCAAAACTTTAAGTCACACACACGACAGAGCTGGCAGCCCAACAGACCACCTCCAAACAAGCTCAGCAGGCAACCTCCCACGAATGCTAGTCTCACTATGTAGCAGAAGGGCTTATTTTCTTTGAAGTGCTCAAATAGCATTTCTCTCTTCTCCTA